TTTTCGTGACCGGTAACGGGATCGCAACCCTCGGTGTCGCGCCCGCGCTCAACCAGTGAGCAGACCGGTCTCTACATGGGATCCGAACCCTCGGCGGAAGCACTCCCAAGCACCGCACTCTACCGAGTGCGCCACCGGGCCAGCCCTAAACAGATATGTGTTGATAGAAGATACATGGGTAAGTTGGTAAAAGATATTAAAGCACATGGACTTAATTGCTTATTTAGCAGCAATTAACTATTATTTCCTGCCTACACATTATTTTATAAACTGGTTGCTCTTATAACACTTGATTTACCCATTTTTATATGTAGAAAAAAGAATATTTTCTTCCTATGAGGCATTTAATCCTGAATTGAGAAATAATCTGATTTTAAGTAGGGAAAAAACTTACCTTTCTCTGCATTTAAGGACAGTCAACAGGGCAACAGGGTGAAGACCAAGGCAGCTGCCCTGCCCAAGATGAGCATTTGGGGAAGGCGGGGCAGCACCTCACACTTCTTGTACTTGCCCCTCTATACACTTAGTGAATTTTGATGGTGATAAGCTAAACATTTCACTTTTACTTTAATTGTCACACTCAAAGTTGATGTTAACTTTAAAACACAGTTTACTAAGATAATTAAAGGTACTTCAAAAAATAATAGAATGTATAAACTTAAAAGCATCTTTTTCTAAGAAAGTGCTTCACTTAACTTTGACAAAGAAAATTTTTCAATTGTCTTATGTAGCTATAAAGGTAGTCTTAATCTTTAAGAAAATATAGTCAGTTATAAAACACATAGTGTATACCTATAAACAAAACATATTAAGTAACAGATAAAAACAATGTTTTTTTAATAGAGAAAAAGAGAATCCACACAGTCTTTCTGACTAATGATTCAAATCAGATTTACTGTGTAGTTAACAATATTGTCTAGAAGCAGAAACAGAGATTATAAATCCAAGTTGCGGAGAAAGTCTGCTGGCAAGATGAAGGGAAGTCATAATGAATCAGAACACAATTTTTAAAAAATTCTACATAAATGCATTATTATTAACAGTCAGAGTAACCGAAATGATAAATGATTCTGTTGCTCCCTTATTCAAGTTACTAGTTATGTCAGGACAGAATATCTAGGCCATCACTGTGTATGACTTACACAAAAGCCTACAGACCCAGAATAAGAATGGATTTACAAATCAAGGACAAGGTCAGGAAAAAAAACACACGACACTTGGGTCACAAAGTACCATTTGTGGCCAAAGTTAGTATGAATCCACAAATCATGGATAGGATTAACTATGTCATCAGCACTTTCATCTTGACATACCTAACCTACAATGAGACTGAGGTCAATTACTGATGAAATGGGTTTCCTGATATGGTATCAGAAAAGAACCTACTTAAAATGTAATCATTAAAACACAATTGGACATGTTGAGAACTAAAGAAGTTAAAATAGGAAGGGGCAGAATTCTAGACAGAACTGTAAAAGATAACCTAACCCACTTGTTTTTAATAAAGAAATAAAGGCCCATGGAGGTCAAGTAAAATTATCCTAGATCACCAGGAGAGCTACTAGCAAAGCAGGACTGGGATTCTGGCCACCTGTCTGCCCCGGCCAGTATCTCTTCTCACAAACCACATCTAATGAAGTATTGTTAAAATTCAGCCCACAAACCTCAGTACTATTATAAAGAGATTTTCATCCTAAAGATCAACTTATGGAGAATAATTGTTTGACTTTTCACAAAAACCAATTAAAACACATGCACATACATCATTGCACTCAAATCAGAAAATCCAGAGTCAAAATGAAAAAACATGGAAGGAAAAAAAAAAGAAGTATTGTTAAAATTCAGCCCACAAACCTCAGTACTATTATAAAGAGATTTTCATCCTAAGGATCAACTTATGGAGAATAATTGTTTGACTTTTCACAAAAACCAATTAAAACAAATGCACATACATCATTGCACTCAAATCAGAAAATCCAGAGTCAAAATGAAAAAACATGGAAGGAAAAAAAAACCAACACTAAAAAACATCATGATAATAAACACTTCACAGCTGTCCTCCTTGTAGTTCTGAATACTCAACATCTCAGGTGTCTATTCAGAAGCTTAACTAGACCAGTAACATATTAATAAGTTGGTGAATTGAAACGCAACATCCATAGAGGAAATGTTCTCAGTTTTTTCATTTGAAGGGTGACCAGTGCTTGAGTCAAACAGAGTCAAGGCCCTATGTAGATTCTCCTATAGAGAGTGACAGCAGGGCTTCCAGGCCAGAGTGACAGGAAGTAACACTTACCTCCCTCCTTCCTCCCAAAGAACTCACTTTAGTTCCAAAAAGGCATTCTAGTACCGTTCCTACAGAAACCCACTGGCCAAAAGAAGCCCCCTGTATAGAAATTAGTAGACCTATTGCACCAGCTGACAAGAAGAAGGTTCTTCCCTGTTACTCTGAGCAAGTTTCTTCTTGTTATCTTAGAAATTCTACATACAGATGATCTGAAATTGAGCTATTATTTAGATTATGATAAGCTAGGAAGAGGACAGATACTGATTTCCACTTAGGAAGACACCCTGCTCATAAAAAGCAGAAACTGAGGCTCTCATAAGCAATTGCATATGACCTCAGGCAAGTCTGGGGCCCTCTCTGCATGCAACATTTCTCAAAGGAGATAGATGTCACAAAGGCAAATGAAATAGAGCAGGGACAGAATACGATGCTCTTCACTCTTACAATTATAGGACATGGGCAGGATGTGGATGCTCTTCACTTTTACAATAGGTTATCACAGATACCAGAAAATCACTGGCAGTGTATCAGCCTGTGGGAGTGTGGCATTGCCAGGGTCACCCAGAGTCCTCATTACCTTGATGATTGCTTAAGAGAATGAGACATTTGGAAGAGAATACTAAAACCTTGCTACACCCAAAGTGTGGCCTGAGGACAATCAGCACAGGCATCACCTGGGAGCTGGTTAGAAACTTAGAGTCTCAGGCCCCATCCAGACCTAATGAGTCAGAACCTGCATTTTAACAAGATCTCCAGGTGATTCCTAAGCACATTAAAGTTTCAGAAGTACTTCAGTGAAATCGATGATGATGCTCTGGCAAAAGTTGCCACAGAAATTTCAGGCGATATCAACCCTACATAGATGCATGTGCAGAATGGGTTCCAAGTCAATTTGGCCCTTTCTGGTACTTCCGGCCAACCACAGGTTAAACAGTTGAGAGGTAAACGTTTTTTAATTACAGATATCAGTATGAACCAAGTGAGCCTCATATAGTTACCTCTTTTTTGTGGGATCAAAGATAATACAGAAAAATACAGAAAGCTAGACATGTTAAGAAATGCTTTATTAATCTGTCTGGATAATGCCAAAAATCATAACCAGACTAAATGATTAAGTGGGCCTGGGTCATTACATCTTCATAATTATAATCATTAAAACCTAGGCATGGGTATTGATTTATTATTTATTAATTGGCAACAACTTACTGATTTTTTTTTTAAACCTCATTTCAATTTTCATTTTCAAAAAAGATTATTTTCTCAAAAGCTGTAGTTTAGCTTAGGAATGTAGCAGTGCAATGGGAAAATCGCCATGCTGGAGGAAAAATAACCTAAATTTTGATCATGGCTTTCACCATGTTAGCTTTCTGCTGGGAAAAGCAGTTCTTGTAAGAATACAATACTATAGAGTAAGAGTGAAAGACATCATTTCCTGCTCCATTCATACCAAAATTTCCTTTTCATGCCCATTTCCCCATTTATCCGATGTCCTAGATAAAGAAGGGGGAAGCTCCTGATGGGGTTCAGAACATACTGTCCCAAAACAGGGTGTCTCAGCATATTGAACATTTTGAGCTGAAGGTCTGAGAAAACAGCAGGTGCAGAAAGCACTCTGACCTTTCCCTGCCCTTCTCTCCTGAAGCAAGTTAGGACCGTCCTATGAGAAGTGCCCTCCCTATACCTGGAGGAAAGGAACTTCTTTGGATTCTGAACAAACAGGCCTTGCTAAGTTTCCTCCAGTTTACTAGGCTTAGCTCCTATCATATTTTTCCACGACTTTCCACTCTTCATCAAACCAAGTATAAAAACACTAAGGTTTAACCATTTTCTTAGGGTCTTCATTTCTTTATAAAGTCTCCTGCATCCAGTAAAATTCACATTAAATAAATTTGTATGCTTTTCCTCTGTTAATCTGTCTTTGTCAGTTTAATTTTCAGCCCCGGCCAGGGATCCGAAGAGGACTGAGGAAAACTTTTTTTCCTCTACTCTGCTCCCCAGGAACAAAGTCACTGAGAACAATATTTAAGGAGCAAGAGCTCTGCCTTGATGGATTTTGGATGTGACCGGTGCCATTGTGCACACAATAAGCACAAAATAGCTGCTGGCCTTGTCTTCCACTCCAGCACCAAACTCCTACCCCCTTCCCAGAAGCCTTGTGACTTAAACAGAAACCCTTTTGCTTCTGCAAGGGTGCAGTTCTCCACCCTGGTCCCATAGTTTCCACATTAGCATAATGCCCCTCCTTGATGGTATCAGCCAGCCCTTGGCACACTATATAAGCTCTACCACACCCACACCTGGTGCTGTCTCTAATTTTGAGTGCACCCTGGTAGATTCTTTTCCTTTAATAAAGCTTGAACAGTACCAGGCATCTCAGCTCACTTTCTTTCACATATCATCAAATTCCATTTTCCCAGACAGATTAACTGGGCACAAAGCATAAGAGAGAAGATGACCACGATGACTTGTGACAGGCAGCAAAAAGATAATGTGGTTTATGGGTTCCGCCACTCTCAAAGATGGAGTGCTTCTGAAAGCTCTACTCCACCAAAATGCTTTCATGAATTTTGTGTCTGAGCACACGTCCTTCACTAGTCAGCTAAGCCCAATTTTGAACATAATAATCAAAAACAGGTGCAGGAGAGTACCAAGATAGTTCCCATTGTGGTACCGAGTTCAAAATGTGGGTGATCATGAACCATCTCCCAGTTACCTGATATAACAGCTATTTTCCCAGATCCATGCTCTTCTCTAGCTATTCTTTCTGCTTCCTCCATCAGCAGCATGCCAAATCCCTGCAAAGAGCAATGAAGGGGGTTGAGGAATTGAGAAGGGAAGAAGTTCATTAAGAGTGGTCCATAAAACAAAAAGGCCCTATGATGGCAGTTGCTAAAATCAGTTAAAATAAGAGCGACAAAAATGTTATGGGAGTAAGGAAAAAGAAACCATTCAATTATACCCAAAGTACACTGTTGTAGACTAATAAAAAAAGGTAGAACTTTCCAACAGGAGCCACCAAAAGGCATCTTGTGGATGATGTAACCTAGTCAACAGCAAGGGGATGATTCCCTCTCAACTTCTGTCCCTTTTTAGATGGGTTCTAGGCAATTTCCAGGTGATGAAAGTCTGGGGCAGTAGGTCTTATATTTATTAGAGTCATCCTCCACTTTATAAAAGGGTTTAGAAACCAGGCAAGATTCTTAAGTCATCAATTTTGGGTCTTAATCTATATCCATCATTAGAGATATTAATACATTTTCCTGAAATTTTGAAAAGTGAATTATTAATTTTAGGTTGTTTGGCAGTGAGAATAAGGCTCCACTATATATAATGTAGCATATGTTTATGAAGTGCTTTAATATTTCATAAATGCTTTTACATCAGCATCTCATTGGTTCCATAATAAGTTGACCTGCATGAAACTGCCGAATTAGACAATTTTTGACTTTCAAAAATATCAATTGCATATAGTTCAATCTGATATATTCCACCCGACTGAATCTGTTTGTCCCTCCCTCCTCCACCCTCACGCCCAGTAGAGTGCAATCTGGAGATAAAATATCTCTGAACAACTAAGATATAGGTTCCTCTGTTTCTATGCTTCCCTGTCTCCTTTCCTCCTCCTCTGTCTCTTCCTCTCCACCCATGCTCACCGCCACTCCTCCCCCCCACCCCCATTCCTTCTCTCTTTTCCTACTTTGGGCAATTTCTTAATGATAAGTCAAACAGAAATGGAATAAAGGATACCTGATGCTGAAATTTAGCTGGATCCCGACTGCTCACAGGGACCACACTTCCATACACATGCAGCTCTCGGACTATGGAAACACCCCCGCCCAATTCAAATCGGAAGGTTTCCTCGGAACACTTCCGTAATCGTAGGAGGCCAATCAAAATGTCTTGATCTGGGTCTTCATATGACAAGAACGTTTCCCAGCCGCCATTTGCAACATAATCTCTTCTTACCAATTCAACCTGTTTAACAAAAAGCCAGAATAAATATTTTTCAAAATTAAAGAAAAAGTTCATTTTTATGATTGTATGAATATACTTAGGCTACTATCCACAGATAGGGATAAAGGATGAATAATCACTAATTATATTCCTTTTTACTTGTCTATTCTCAAATAGCACCAAGGTTACATAAAAGTTCATGCTTTGTTCATGGACTATTATATTTAAAAAATGTTTATAATTTCACAAAATATTTGAACTTCATTAACCTTGAGATTCTTACAGAGATCCAGCTCTGTAAATGCTTCCATGTATTTAGATTTGACCCTCCATGAACAGTCTCTAATGCAAAATTACAGATTGCGTTACATGTGTAGCTCTTAGGAACACCCCTTTGCCTCAAAACTGTCAGGCGCTCATTGATTTCTATTTTCTAGTTCTTACCTCCTCCACTAAAACCTGCTTTGGAAAAAACAAATGTGATACTGGTCACTTGTTCCTTGATAAGATTTTTTAAAAGTATGACATTCTACAAGGCACTTAAAATATTATGCCTAATTATGCGATAAAAATGTTAAAGAAAATTCAATCACTGGAAAGTAGCTTCTGGGGGAAAGTACGGGTGGTAGCAATCTACATAGGATTTTGACTCTTCAGCTCAGTGTACAAATGGCCCTTGTACTTTGATACCTATAAGCAATATTTAACAATATGCATACATTACAGAGAGAAACCTACATATTTTGCCATGATCACACCCACATAATCTCTGTAAATAGGCAGACTGTACCCACAAAGAGGTGAACAGTTCAGACCAATACTTATGAGGAGTCTTCAAAACGTACACGAAAGCATTCATATTATCTTTTAATTCAATTTTTCCACAAACTTTTTGAAGTACACTTGTATACTCCTTCTCAACTTAATATTTGCTAAATGACTGGACTGCAAAAAAACTTGGTAAAATGATTAGCTGTGTTGGGTCTACTTTTTCCCTCAAAAGGTACTAACTGTAAAAAATCTCAATTAAACAAACAATTCATGCTGAGAACAGAAACATCAATGCAGAGATCATCTATCCCAGCCTTTCTCAAATGGGGTTCCACACGAGTTAAACCCCACAGCAAATTTGGCACATAGCTAGACATTACAGATGTGTAGGAGAAAAATTAATTCATTACATACAACGAATGCCTTAGGACATTACACTTAATTTTTGTGGAACCCCTGTTGACAAGGGCCAATCTACTCATTTGACTATCATCAATGGGCCAAAGTTTAACAGTTGCACACAGATAAGCAGGTCATACATACCATGCTCTTATACCTGAAGGTGGCCACTAGTCATAGGAGACCATTTACATTTGATTGATTAAAATCAAACAAAATTAAAATTTGGTTCCTCATTTGTACTGCCACATTTCAAGTGCTCAACAGTCACCTGAGACTAGTGGCTATCCTACTGGAAGGCTCAGATTATAGAACATTTCCAACACTGCAGCAAGTTCTGTTGAGTAGTGTTGATCTAGAATGAGGTTCACACTTGGTTTTCCTACCCTGGCTTTTCTAGAATTCAGCCACCCTCATATTTGGCTTTCCTGGCTTGACATCTACATCTAATCCTCAAATACGCTCTGCTCCTAGTTATTCATTCACTCTAAAGGTGCAGTCCTATCAGTAAGCAGACTGAGTCCAGGCTTGGCAAAGACCTAAGAGTGGACCCAACCTCTATCAAACCAAGAAACTAACCTGGTATGGCCGTACTTTGTGATGAATTTCTTGAATCCCAACTTCTCTGGTTCTCACATCTCGACACTGCCCAAAAAAAAATGAGTTGGGGAGCAAATATAAAACTGGTAACTAATTCAATTTTTATTTAAACCTCTTACCAAACCCTGGGCTCAAAATTAAGTTTGGACATAATTTACGTTGAGATAAAAGAACTAAATTTTAAAACAAAATCACCTTTAATAAATTAGACGATAGGCTAACCAGAATGAACATGTATGAAGTAGTATAGTATTGCTTTTAAAACAAACGTTATTCAAAAGAGACTAACATAATATAATATTGGGGGTAAAGAACATAAGTCATAAAGTTAGAAAATAGTTTTGCCCAGGGGATATAAGTATCTAAAAGTATAATCCAAAACTGTGTGTACAGAAGAATAAAAGGCAAATCTCTAAATTTTTAAAACCTTTACCATTTTATGGCAGTTAACATTTTTAGCATCACCATTTTTGTATCATTTTAGAAATGTCAAAAAAAGATGTATGTTTAAGATGGCTGTTTTCTTGCAGAGAAGGGTGCTGTGAAAGAGAGCATGGGAGGGACGGAGAGAGGGAACAAAGAAGAAAGGAAAGAAAGAAGGAAGAAAAGAGCCTAGAGCTACGTACTATACACTCTGAACCACAATTACAAATGGTTCTTTGAATATCCCTGGGAGGAACAAGGCTGCCTGTGGACAATGTCAAGGCAATGCAATGCCTGGTCCGCGTGGACCCCAGTTTACTTCAACAGAGACTAGCAAGGATTTTGAGGGGTGCAGGGTTAAAGAGAACGGAAGGATAATGAGATTGTCAGGATAAACAGGCCTCGGCAGTGGTACTCCCAGAGGAGAAAGTAGATAAATAGAGAACAGGGCATCTGGGAACCAGAGCAGGCACACAATCTTGTTTGGTGCTGTTAATTACTATAAATGAATTTGCTTTTTCTAGAACTTAAAATTGTTTATCACTTTTTTGAGGGGGGAGGGGGAGTAGAATTCCCACTGACTTGGAATTTCTGAAGGCAGAGCCTTGACCTAAATACCACTCCTGGCATATTTCTTTAGTGGCTCTAAGAAGATTCTAGGGCACTGAGTTTCAAACCTTCCTCAGACTTAAGAAGTACATACAGAGACTATTAAATTACAGATTCCTGGGCTCTTTGTACTTCCAGGGCCATCAGAGAAGAGGTGCTTAGTGAATATTTGTAAGATAAATAAGTGCCTTGAACAGATGTGGGGCTGGGGTACAGTGAGGAAGCCTGGGTAACAGATTCCTGGGCTCTTTGTACTTCCAGGGCCATCAGAGAAGAGGTGCTTAGTGAATATTTTGTAAGATAAATAAGTGCCTTGAACAGATGTGGGGCTGGGGTACAGTGAGGAAGCCTGGGTATGTGGGGCAACAGCATTGTTTGATAACTATTTCACGCACAGAATCCTTGTCTCTTCAGATGACTGTAATTCCTTTTGAGGAACCACATCTTATTCTTCTTTTATAACCTACTAGTCTAGAACTGAACACCCAATACTTCAAAAGAAAAAATGTTTTAAGGAATGGGAGTTGAGCACATAGTTGGCAATCTGAGTAGGTAGAAAAGACAGCCACTAAACTGAGAAACCTACACTCATGCAGAAGAAAGCAGAAGGGGCTAAAGGGACAGGAAGCAGCCTGTCTTCACCACTAGCTTCAACTTGAACATGTCACACAGTAAGAGCGCCCTCAAAACATGAAAGTTAACATGAAAGTTTTTTGACCTGCCTCGTAAGACTAGTTTATAAGTGTGATAGTGCCAAAGTTTTCTGCATTTTGGATTACTTTCTTTTCCTCAAGAGTTCTGGTCTGACAGCAGTATTTACTCTTACCTGTATTCCAAGGTCTTTCATTCTTGCAAATGCCAGCTCTCTCAAATTACCATGCTCTACTCCTGAGCTGACTAGGGGCATTGGAATATCTCTGTAGGAGAAAAACATCAGATGTTGCAAAACATAAATCATTCTCTACAGCAGTAAGGCTAAAAAAAGAAAAAACAAAAAAACAAAAACGAAAAAGCAAAAAAACAACGAAGCAGACCAGGAAAGCAGAGGCCAAATATCCTAACCAGGACGCAAGGCTCTGCACTTCTCTACGCCCAAGTTTTCCTATCTACAAAACTCACCGACCGGGGCCGGCCCGGTGGCGCACTGCTACAGTGCGCCACTTGGGAGCCGATGGTTCGGATCCCACATACAGACCGGTTCCCACTCACTGGCTGAGCGAGGTGCGGGCGCAACACCGAGGGTTGCGATCCCATTGCTGGTCCGGTCCGGTACGGGAGTGACACTGGGGGTTGCGATCCGTTGCCGGACACGAAAAAAGACAAAAAGGAAAAAAAAAAAAAAAAACTCACCGACCTCGCAGGGCTTTTGTGAGAGACACCTGATGGAAATCACTTCATGAGATTATAAAATGCAAAACAAATGCCAAAATGCCCAATAACCATTAGTAAGAATTTTTGGCCAAAGAGACATTTGTACTAAATAAAAGAAGAAATAAAATGGTTTTTTACAAAGTTTGTATAATGAAGTAGCTTTACAAACACTATCCCATATAGTTGCTGGATGACAAGGAACCAGAAAGCTCAAAAGCCTGGCTTAGCCAAGGACTAGTTTGGCCAAAGAGACATTTGTACTAAATAAAAGAAGAAATAAAATGGTTTTTTACAAAGTTTGTGTAATGAAGCAGCTTTACAAACACTATCCCATATAGTTGCTGGATGACAAGGAACCAGAAAGCTCAAAAGCCTGGCTTAGCCAAGGACTAGTTGAAAAGAATGAATCTTTTTTCCTCATTTCCCAAAAAACTAAATTAGAAGTGACTCTGCATTAGAAGAATAACAGCTTGCCTAAAGATGAGAGGAGACAAAATTTATTTCCTTCCTCATTAGTACAGCGGTGAAAGAAAGAAAAAAAATTTATTTCTTGGCATGAATGTAGGTTAAAGTGTCAGGCATCAAGGAGACTTAACCAAAGGCTGAAGTTATGAGTTTCACTTTAGTAGCCCCAACACCCTCTTCTACACAAAAATCAGTGTCTAAAGATAAAACAGTTAATAAAAATGTGAAGTAAGAATATGCACAGCACTTCTGCTGTCTTTGAATAGACAAGTCCCCAATTTGTTTTGTCTAATATTTAGTTGATCAGAAGATGTGAAGAATATGTCAATTATCTTTTCTTATCATTTTGCTTTTGAATCAACTGTTTTCCTTCTCTTTGCAGTTATCCCTTCAAATGTTAAATACAACTAGCTAACTCATCTATTTGACTCTAATAAGATATTCCTCACTTGAAAGTATCAAAAGTCAATCAACTAGCATTAAAAGCTATACACAATATTAGGCTCTGGTTGCCAGTAGCATTTCCATAAAAACACTATAAATCTAAGATAAGTCAAAATTCTTTAAGACAAAGACACACCAGTGTGTCAAAGTGACAGTGACATAAAACAGATACAAGGGTACTTCAAAAAGTTCGTGGAAAAATGGAATTAAAAAATCTTTCCACGAACTTTTTGGAGTACTCTTGTATTTCAGAGTGATCAGAGTTAGTATATATGGTTTACTTCTAGTTTTTAGTAAAATTACTTTCTATCTCTGGAACTATAATTTCTTAAAATCAAATACATTTTAAAGTTAGTAATCAGATGAAATAGAATGAAGACATTACAGTAAAATATATGATTTATTTTAGCAAAGGGTTATTTATGAGTACAGATATATACATTTTTAAGTATTTTACTGTTTCAAATTATATAAACCAAAGATAAAGTCATCTAAATATCCCTTTTTATCCTGAAATATTTTATAACTCACAGGTATATGAATATACAAAATATATGACTGTATAGCATATATATTAACATATAAAATGACTATTTCACAACTCAAAGTAAAATTTAAAACACTGTTATACATGGTATAAAATTAATCTGAAAATCAGTAGCAACCACTGCTAAGTACCCATTACATGACAAATACTTTCAATTTTGGTTGTTCATGGTAGTCATGTTCTATAAAGTTGCTGTGAATATTGAGTTAGCAAATAATGAAGCACTGCTCCTATAGAACACACAGGGTTAAGTGTCTGTGAGTCCCTGGAACATTTTCTTCAACTGATCAATACATAACCTTGTTTTCTTTTTTCCTTTTTTTTTTGGTAGCTGGTCGGTATGGAGAACTGAACCCTTGAGCTTGGTGTTGCAAGGCTGTGCTCTAAATGAGCTAACCTACCAGCCCCATAACCTTGTTTTCTGTGTGTTTCTGTTTAAAGCCACCTTATTTAACATACAGTTAATTCAATAACAGTGAACTCGTGGCCACAGCAATATAACTCATACCTCACAGACACTTTCTGGTCAGCATGCGTATTTCTCTAAGGCACATCACAGCCTCCCTGCCTTAGGAACATGAGACGGCAGCACGTCAAGGCCTACGCTGGGGGGTTGTGCTCCTGTTTACTTCCAAATTAAACTGCCTTACCTAGGAAGAAACTGATTTGCTCACTATTGATTCGCACTCACAGTTTTGTACTTTCTCTCTTTACTAGCAACAAAATTAAAAGAACTGCTCCAATTTCTAAACAGCACTTTTCAAGTTGATAAGGGCAAATTTAGATGAGTTTAAATACATGGAATTCATTGATCTGGTAAGTGGCAAAGGCAGAAACCATGAACTGACTAAAAATTGATAATTTTAAATGGCAAAATCAACAAAAAGCACAAAAAATGCAAAAAACATGTTATTAAATAGTCTGTGAAAAGGATACCTGTCTGCAGGTGGGAACTGCAGCAGTCGGCAGTGAGGTGCTACACTCAACCTCAGATGGAAATGTGCCCATCGGGCAGCTCACATCTCTCCCCATTCTGTGCCATGTCTGAACGGCCATGAGAATGCCACCAGTACTGATGTCAGAAATACAAATAACCTTTAGTGAGTTCGTGAATTTGCAAATATGGAATCCACAAATAATGAGGATCAACTGTACTATGTTGAGTACTGGTATCACTGAGGCAAGTTAAATAGCTAGTGGTGGGTAGGAAAGGGAGGCAGGGGCAGGGAAGCTAGAAAGAGAAATTCAGTGGAAAGAGACGGTTCTTGGAGGAATGGTGTTGATGGAGTGCAAACAAAACTAAGAGGAAAACGAATGAAGAGGTGGGAAAGAACATGGATGGCTAGACATGGAAAGAGAGCAGAGGCCTAAAGGCAGGGCCTCCGTGGGAAGAAGGTTAGCTATGTGCAGGAAACTGATCATTGAGAAGACAATGACCGAATGCACCAAAAGTCAATCAGAAAATCTCAAATCCTTAAGAGGCATATATTGAACTCTGATCTGCTTTGTTATTATAGATAGAAAACACTTTTTAAGGGTTCCCTTAGGACAATGGAATCAAAGGAGGACAATGCTGCTCAAGAGACTTGCCCACAGAGTCTACCCAGAGAGCCTCCCTACACAGGAAGGCTGCAAAACCCATCTCTTAACCAACAGGACAATCTACCTCAATTTTCTCCACAATCATAAATAATGCTTTTACCCTGTTCTTATCCTCTCTACATCCAAATTAAATTTCACTACCCATAAAGAAACTGATTTTCTTATTAATTCAAATTTACAGTTTTATACTTCTCCTTTCACTAGGATACAAAATTCAGAGAATTGGTCTAAGTTCTGAACAGCATACTTTGAAACTTGATAGGAGCAAATTTAGATGGGTGTTAAACACATGGGATTCATTAATTTTCTAAAAGTGGCAAAGGCAAAAACCATGAACTGACTAAAAATTGATCTAGACAGACTTACGATTTAGTCATAAAAAGCTAAGGCCCTTTGGAGCTACTGGAGCTTTGATTTGACGTTAGAGAACACAACCAGGTCCTTCTATAGTACTTTCTCTAAGCTCTCTGTTGGCAAATAAAAATTAGTTTAGGCAGACCCTGAGTCTGCCTCATTATGGCAACTCCTAAAGTTTGCAGATGATGCCTAAACCCCATGAGGGTTGACCGGGGTATGAAATCTGGTGAATCTCCATAGTCCAGAGCTACCTGAATGTTCTGTGACAATTCAAAACTAGAATCTAGATGTATACATTAAAAATAATCTATTGTGCCAAAATAATTAAATGGGGAAAGAATAGTCTTTTCCTCAAACAGGCAAAAGAATGAAGATGAACCCCTTCCTTACACCACACACAAAAGTTAACTCAAAATGGATCACAGTCCTAAATGTAGTCAGAGCTAGAACTATACAACTCATAGAATAAAACATAGGCATAAACTTCATGCTGCTGGGCTTCTTTTATAGATGACACCAAAAACACAACATATGAAAGAAAAAACCAGTAAATCAGACTACATCAAAATTAAAAACTTCTGTGCCACAAATGATACCAACAAAAAAGTGAAAACTCCCTGAATGAGAGGAATTATTGGCAAATCATATATACTATAAAGGGATTGATGTCTACAATATGTAAGAAACTCTTATAACACAATAATAAAAAGAAAACAACTCAATTTAAAAATAGGCAAATGGAGAGACTTCTGGTTTTAGGTTCTGCATGTAAGGAGCTTCAAAGGCACTACTCCATCCTAACAAGTAAAAAGCTGAACAGATTGAAAAATCAACAACTCTTAACGGACCCGTAAGATAGGGGAACACACAGGGCAACCATCGCCCCCACCAGGGATGGAGAAACAGACAGGAGAAAGCAGGTAGCCACAGCTTACCAGAGCAGACTCACAGGCGGGTGGAATCCGCTGTGAGAAGCAGCGCTGGGGGTGGGGTGGGGGGGACACCTGAACTGTAATTGACAAACTGCTGGAGGCTCAGACAAGTCAGAGGGACCCAGTCATAGGGAGACCCCCACAATATTGTGAGAATTATCTCCAGGAGCTTGACCAGGTTCCCACATTAA